CTCTTCAGAGTCACAGATTGTTTACATTCCTCGTTATTTTAGACTCGCTACTGCGGATGGTGTACAGGACGTATAATCGAATGCCATGTGGTAATCTATGACAGCTTGATAAATGTATTTGCCGCACGCATTCTACTGTTATTTGATTGAAGGTGGCCTGATGTTGATAACGATTTCATGAAGTCTGCTTGTTTAGTCGGTTTGTTGTCTATTGTTTGTTGATATTTTGTATATGCACGAACCGAGGCTGATAGCCGCATGATTATTAAGATCCTATCGTCACCTTTTGTGCAATAAAATTGTTTTGAGACCAGACAGTGGTCGGTAATTGTGAAATATTCCGGCACGTGTGTGGTGAGACGGACAAGATCATTTGAGATCAGTGGTCCGCCCGGTGCTAGCCGAGCTGCATCGCCTTGCAGTTGCCCAACGAATTCGTGATGAGGTCGCACTCATTACACACGCGACGTGCCTGCCCCACTCATGAACCACAACACCTCGCTGATCTCGTCAAGCAGCACAAGCCATCATCACGCGAACTCCGATCATCTTCGCAGCAGCACATTTTGGCTTGCCATCGAACAAAGACGATTAACCGCATCGCGAGCTTTCGGATGCACTTCTACGGCCGTCTGGAACGCTCTTCCTTCCGATATTAGGACGCCACTTGGAGCTATGCACTTTCAAATCTCCATTGAAAACTGATTTCTTTCGAAATGCTGTTTGTGTTTAGTTGTCCGAACCCGCACGTCTGGCTACGTACGGTGCGAAAGAAGATTAACATACATGTTATGGAATTGTGTTAATTTACATATTCCTTCAAGTAGTTCTTCCTCAATTGATTTTAAGATTGTTGTCGGAGTTTTTATCTGCGGACGATGACACTATTTAACTTGCCTATGAACTATGTAAAAAGTATGCCTACACACAGCTGGCGATACAACTGTTGGCTTGAAGTGTTACTGCATTGGAGAGCCTTAGCATTCAACACTTGTCATCAGCACCTCCAGCCTGTGATTGCCTAGACCAGTGGTTCTCAACCTTGTTCGGCTACCCTCTTGCCTGACCCAATATGGTTTTGAGAAATAAATGTATGAATAATAAACATCAATATTTTAATTAATTGGCCATTATGTGTGGTATATCCTAACTAGCAAGTAACTGCAAGCGAATAAAAGCAATCAACGGACGCTCTGCTCTCTTGGAAACCACTTTGTTTAGGTTAACATATGGATCACAATGTTATCGTCGTTATTTTATATTTGCAGAATCCGACGTGATTATTCACCGATGACTCTTACGTATGATAGAATTTCACACATTTATAAATCATCTCCCCTACCGCCTGGGACATTGCCGCAGACTCCCCGGTTGAGAACCACTGGCCTAGGGCATCGGATGAGGCTGCAGTAGCCGCCCTAGAAACCCCAAAGGTCACCGCGTGGACGGGCAATGGGCTCACGAAGCTGCCACTCCCTCTTAGTGGTGGGCAGCTTCCTGGAAAATCGGAACATCGATGTTCGCCCTACACCGTTATAGGCCTATGAGCAACTTCCCTGGCAACCGATGGAACTCATCACACAGGGAGCCCCATCTCCCCTGGGATGACACTGCAGCTGCCTCTGAAAATCCCCGCTCACACATTCGCTCTGTGCAATGCGTATGTTGTTTCAGCGGTGTAGGGGTGTCAGGGGAAGGATTCCCACCAATCGGAGGGTTAGTGGGACGGTGACAGGAGAAGGCGGAGGGATAATCGAGGAGATATCAGGGGAGAACTGGCGGGAAGAGGGGGCCTTTGGCGGGAATGAGATTGAGACGGCTGGAGACAGGTGTGGATGGAAGAGGAATAAAGGACGAACCCCCTGCAACCCTTGTCGGCTCTCCTTTACAGTGGTATTCTGCACGGAACGTCACCTTCGTCGTGTAATTCCACACATCAAGATGTAGCGCTGGATCCCAGAACGGCAGTGATCGTAGACGTCCTACGCACTGGAATAAGCTGCCCCTACTTGTAGACTATCAGCCTCGCTCGCGATGTTTCATTCTCCCCTGAGAACTCACTCACTGATTGTCCTTCGCTTACCCCAACTCTCCTTCCCCCTCCCTTCCCCACCAACTCCGTCCCCCTTCACCGGGCAATCCATCACGACTCAATTCATCATTAGCCACTCATTGTCAATTTCATCGTTTATACTCTTTGGTTTTATTCGGTAAAGTCAAGTAGGTAAAACGAATTTAAATAAAATAAACAATTAAAACACGTTTCGGAGGCAACGCAAGCTTCCGTCTTCAGGTGGGACCAGTCAGGGGGTGTGGGAAGGGCCATGTGGGGGGACTTTAGTGGGGTGCGGAGGGGGAATGGGTCGTTGTGTTTGTGCAGGGATGAGTTAATCCGTCTTTTGTTGTGTGTAGGGTGCGGGAGATGGGTCACTGTGTGTGTGCAATATAAACGGAGTGAATCCTTCTTTTGTTGTGTGGAGGGCGCGGGAGATGGGTCACTGTGTGTGTGTGCAATATAAACGGACAGAATATCGGCCAGGATGTGCTGTAAGGGGGCAGTAGAAAAAGGAAAATAGAAAAGTTCGGAAATAATGTTTGGTATACCACTGCTTGAAATTGCTGTTAGAAATTAGTGTTTGGTATGATTCAAAACGTCTTTCCAGTGGTTGCTTAATTTGGAACCATCCTCTCGGTTGAAATTATGCCTGTGTTTGTATATCTGAATGGCTTCGTGGACAAATCTTTGGTGATAACCTGTAGGTTTACAAAGAACCTTGGTATCGGAAAAGACAATCTCATGATCACCCATAGCGTTGTAACAGTGATCAGCCACAGCAGATGAATTCGTTCTGCCGTGTTTCAAATCTGATTTATGTTCGCGAATTCGGTCAGAGATATATCGTTTCGTCTCCCCGATATAACAATCACCACAGGTACAGCTCAATTTGTAAACACCGGGGTACTGTAAGTCAGGGATGACATCCTTTACGGATGGGATCAGATCACGAATTTTGTGTACTGTATTGAACTGGACTTGGATCTTGTGTTTGTTTAGAATTTTGGAAATATTTTTAGTAATGCCTGCTATGTAAGGTAGTGTGATGGTTTTGATTGGAGTATCAGGTGGTTGTTTCTGTATAGTAGGAGAAACAGCTTGGCGGATGGTACGGTCAGAGAATCCGTTCCTCCTAAGGGCCAGCCGTACCAATTTTAATTCACTGGTCAAGTGATGTTGGTCTGAAATGCAATGAGCCCTATGGTGTAACGTTTTGATGAGTTCTTTTGAGCCAGGTGGTGGTGGGAATCCGGTTTCAAGTAGAAATCTGTGTGGGTGGGCTTTCTGTAAACAGAATGTCCCAACGAGCCATCAGACGTCCTCTCAAACAGAACATCCAAGAATGGAAGCTTGCCATCTTTCTCTATTTCCATGGTGAATCTTATGGAAGGGTGTCTGGAATTGATGTGGTCCAGGAAAAGGTTCAAAGCTGGGAGGCCATGTGGCCAAATGACGAAAGTGTCATCCACATATCTCTTCCAAAGGGAAGGACTGAGGGTGGATGTCTGGATGGCGTTCGATTCAAATTTCTCCATGAAAACATTGGTTATCACTGGTGACCCATGGGAGTACCCTCATTTTGCTTGTAAAAAGTACCATTCCAAGTAAAGTAGATGTTGGTAAGGCAGTGCCAACCAGCGCAGGTACTTCAGGGTTTAGTCCATGTTGGACCAGATCCTCAATTATTTTAATGGTGTCAGGTACTGGGACCTTGGTGAACAGAGACACCACATCAAAGCTGACGATATCGTCAGGGGCCAGTACAATGTCTTTGACCAGAGACCAATTGGGATGAGTTAAGTACTGCTGAGGTGGTCTTGCCAGTAAAAGGTAGCAGAGTATCTGACAGAAAACGGGCTAGTTTGTAGGTAGGAGAGTTGATCGTGGACACGATGGGTTGTAGTGGGGTACCTTCTTTGTGGATCTTGGGAAGACCATAACATCTAGGAGGTCTTGGAGCGGAGGGCCTTAGAGAATTTTAGTTGGTTCGAATAGGCAGGCCGAACTTGTGATGATCTTGTTGGTTTTAATCGTGAGGCTGTTGGTAGGGTCATTTTAATTTTTTTAGTAACTCCCATCACTGAGTAGGTCCTGAATTTTATTGCGGTATGAGTTTTTATCCATAATTAGTGGCATTGCCCTTGTCGGCTGAGAGGATGACTATGTCATCCCTCTCTTTTAATTTCGTGAGTTCAGAGCGTTCACCTTTGCTGATGTTGCTAACGGGTTTCTTAGCACTCTTAAGAATAGTGGCTATTTCAGCTCTCGCTACGTCTGCTTGGATGTGTCCTATACCTTTGAGGGCAGAAGGAATTCATCTGCTGTGGCTGATCACTGTTACAACGCTATGAGTAATCATAAGATTGTCTTTTCTGATACCAAGGTTCTTTGTAAACCTACAGGTTATCACCAAAGATTTGTCCACGAAGCCATTCAGATGTACAAACACAGGCATAATTTCAACCGAAGATGGTTTCAAATTAAGCAACCACTGGAAAGACGTTTTGAATCCGTGGTATATCAAACATTATTTCCGAACTTTTCTATTTTCCTTTTTCTACTGCCCCCTTACAGCACATCCTGGCCGATATTCTGTCCGTTTATATTGCACACACACAGTGACCCATCTCCCGCGCCCTCCACACAACAAAAGACAGATTAACTCATCCCTGCACACACACGACCCATCCCCCCTCCGCACCCCTCTAAAGTCCCCCCACATGGCCCCTCACAACCCCCCCCCCCACCTTAACCTGTATTTAAGCGCTAGGTTCCCAGAGCCTCGCCACTTGGTGCAGCGATTTTGGCTGCGACTGGTCCCACCTGAAGACGGAAGCTTGCGTTGCCTCCGAAACGTCGTGTTTTGTTTATTTTATTTTAATTCGTTTTACCTACGTGATTTTACCGAATAAAACCAGAGTATGAATCCTTGCAGTCACAAAAGTTTCAAATCTAGAATTCATCGTTTATTTCACGCATCATCATATCCATCAAGGACTATCACCCTCAAACTCTCACTCATCTGCCGTACAAATTGCTAAGTTTGCACTTCGAACAAATGTACGCGCATCTCTTGAGCCTCAATTTCAGTAAGCGAACGGACCAAGTTTATATTCATTTCATGACATTCACAATGGTGACAACATAAACCCGTATTTAAAAACATTTTCTATCAAAGGCTTACATTTGGCGTACTACGTGGATTCAGTTCGTAGAGAAAGTCAACTGAGCCTAATATTTTCTAAACAAGACAAATTGGTGTGAGACAACGAGGTTGTCTTAGTAGGATAAGTCAGAGCCCAGATCCAGGGCTGAACCCAGGCAGCCACATGGGTGGGGGCACAAACAGATTCTCACATTTGGGTTATCAAATCATACATATTATTTCCCTTGAGAACTAAACATTTTTAGGAGACGTTAGATGAACTGTCTGTGGTACGGTACAGATGCAGAGTTGTACCCAGATGTGTTTATTAGATGCTTATTTAAAAAGTAATCTCATAATTCTGACAATTTTCTAGGACAGTGAAAACATCTCAATTGGTGTAATACTGCTTGCTGGATGTACATTTGTCTCAAAGTACAACACTGATATCACAACTGCAACATAATTTGGAAGAAAAATGCAAAAACGTGGGAACAATGCAGTAGTACTGGAAATGAAGGTGATAAGAGCAGTCTGATGAGCAAGGAAGTAAATGAATGAACGTGCTGCATGGTTGTGTGCAAGCAACATGTGACATTTAATACTCAAGACTTCCCAAAAAGTAACCAAATCAAGATGGTGCATCCTCATTTTGACTCCAGTAAAATGTGAATTTCTCCGTCTCAAGACACGACACCGATGTATGAACGGCAACATAATCACGAAGCATTCCTCAAAAGACAACACGGAGAACAAAAATCTCGTAAATAGGAATGGATTTTTCCAATACATAAATTATGGATGTGTTTCAGTCATCCCAACTCCACTCTTACCCTAAAAATACACACCTATATCACCTCTTACAATACAAAAATCATAAAGAACATTAATTTTAAAAGAAAAAAATACCTTTTCAGGTAACTCAGCCAAAAGATCTGCTGCATGTTGGAATTACTGGCAAGGTGATGTGGAGGCATTACTGTTGCACTGCAGGGACACCGTGACGCTGTAACAAATGGACATGACGCAGCCTCCTGGGTGCTTCGTGTTTGATCTCATGGCAAGTGGCGTGTGACAATTCATTGACGCGGAAATTGGATTTTGTGAATTGAAATGTGTCCATAATTTGCCAATCGCGTTCATGCGACATGTCGCAAAACCGAACGTTCGTAAAAACGAGGGATACCTAGACTGGAAAATAATGATCACAAGAGTAGTCTGTTGAGTAAGGAAGTAAATGACTGAGGAGGGTGTGTGTACACATGGGTCACGTGTGACATCTTTAACACTCACCGACCTACCAAAGAGCAACAAACATCAAGACAAGACATCTCAATTTTGACTCTTAGATAATGGAGAAAGAAACCAGCATGAAACAAGATCAAGGTGCAAGAGGATGGAGAAGCTGTGAATCTTGTGTGGGAACACTTTTTTTTCTATACAGGCAAAGTTAAACGAGATTGGTGGTGGCGATACGTCAGACTTAGTGGTTTTGCAAGCATGTCATTAATCATTTTCTCCCTGCGCTCTGCACACTCCTTGCGCTGTTTCAGTCGGCGCAGCCGGGCCTTGGCTCGTTGCTGCTCTGGGTCTCGCGGTGGCACCGCTGCTTCGCGCGCCCCACCCTCGCTCTGGCGCAAATCCTCCTGCAACGCCCGATGCAGCTCCGATGTCTTCAACTGTCAATGGACACGGTAAAATTACAATTACGTACGCTGAATGGAAGAAATCATGATTACAGTTACGTGCGTGATCGTACTCGTAAACAGAGTTGGGACAAAGTGTGTTCCTGCCCAAATGAGCAGTGGAGTGGTGCTCAACTCCACTGCCAGAGATTGACTGCTTGGTCTCATTCACACTCTTCAGCCGCCACACTGCAGATCACAACTCCCCTAACTACAAACTAGCCCGCTTTTTATCGGATACTCTGCTTCCCTTTACTGGCAAGACCACCTCAGCGGTACTTAACTCAACCCAATTGGTTTCTATGGTCAAGGACACTGTACTATCTCCTGACGATATCCTCGTCAGCTTTGATGTGGTCTCGCTGTTCACCAAGGTCCCAGTGCCTGACACCATAACAATAATTGAAGATTTGGTCCAACATGGACTGAACCCTGATGTACCTGCACTGGTTAGGCACTGCCTCACCAACACTTACTTGACCTGGAATGGTACCTTCTACAACCAAAAGGAGGGTACCTCTATGGGTTCTCCCTTGTCATCAGTGATAGCCAATGTTTTCATGGAGACATTTGAATCAAACGCCATCCAGACATCCACCCTTCGTCCTTCCCTGTGGAAGAGATATGTGGATGACACTTTTGTCATTTGGTCACATGGCCTCCCAGCTTTGAACCATTTCCTAGACCACAAATTCCAGACACCCATCCATCAAATTCACCATGGAAGTGGAGAAAGATGGCAAGCTGCCATTCTTGGATGTTCTGTTTGAGAGGAGGACGGATGGCTCTTTGAGACATTCTGTTTACAGAAAGTCCACCCACACAGATTCATACTTGAAGCCTGATTCCCACCACCACCCGGCTCAAAAGAACTCTCTCAATAAAACATTATACCATAGGGCTCATTGCATTTCTGACCAACACCACCTAGCCAGTGAATTAAAACATGTACATCTGGCCCTCAAGAGGAACGGATACTCTGACCGTACCATCCGCCAAGCTGTTTCTCCCACCATACAGAAACAACCACCTGATACTCCGATCAAAACCATCACACTGCCATATATAGCAGGCGTTACCAAAAAGATTTCCAAAATTCTAAACAAACACAAGATCCAGGTCCGGTTCAATACAGTACACAAAATTCGGGATCTGATCCCATCCGTAAAGGATATCATTCCTGACTTACAGTACCCCGGTGTTTACAAATTGAGTTGTACCTGTGGTGACTGCTATATCGGGGAAACGAAATGACATATTTCTGACTGAATTTGCGAGCACAAATCAGATTTGAAACACGGCAGAACTAATTCTTCGGCCGTGGCTGATCATTGTTTCAACACAGCGGGTTCTCATGACATTATTTTCTCCGATACCAAAGTACTATGCAAACCTCCCGGTTATTGTCAAAGATTTGTCCATGAAGCCATCCAGATATACAAACATAGACACAACTTCAACCGAGAGGATGGTTTCAAATTGAGCAACTTTTGGAAAGATGTCATCAACCAAGTCAAACGTTAGCTGGCTGATAATTGTACAGCCGTTTCCGTTTCTACCAGGAAGGTGCTTGCTCTCGTGCAGCACGCCATCGCTCCCCCCGAACCCCCTGCAGCATAACAAAAGGGGGTTGTACCCGCTTTCGTGCAGTGCACCACCGCTCCCCCCAAACCCCATGCAACATAACAAAAGGCGGCTTAACTTAGCCCTCCCCTCCCCACCCACGTCCCTTCCTGGCTCCTCCCCCCCCCCCCTTAACCTGTATATAAGCTCGGGTGTCCCAGAGCTGTTAACTTGATACAGCAAACTTTGTTGTATCTGTTCCACCTGAAGACGGAAGCTTGTGTTGCCTCCGAAACGTCGTGATTTAATTTAGTTGTTTTCTTTTATTTTACCTACGTGACTTTACTGAAAAAAAACAAAGAGTATGAATCCTTGCAGTCACGAAACCTTCAAATCTAGAAAACATAAAAACAACATTCACCACGAAGTGGCAGTGACGTCACCATGACGCTTCTGCCAGGTTAGGTACACTTTGAGGCCACGTGAGTATCGAAGGCTCGCTGGCAGGAGGTCACAGGACAAACCCATGTGCCATAGGTTGACTGAGATGACTGGCAGATGCATCACCTGTGCCCCCTACTATGCCAACTTGCTGCATTTTAGCTGCCCGACGCTCTGCTTGTTGTTGTGAACTTCACTCCTCTGCCCTCCACTGTTGTTGGCGGTCAACTGCCTCCAACTACTCAATCGTGTCCTTTGTGAGCTTCCTCCATACTGGCCGATCTTGGCACTGCTGATACCAGTCCACGGCAAGTCCGTTCAGCTCCATATCCTCTACCACGACAACCCATCTCCTCTCTAGCCTGTGCCACGGTCGTTTAGCCCCCTCTATCCAGCCAAACAGAAGCTGTTTTGGCATGCAGTGGTTGGGAATATGGGCTACATAACCCACAAATATCTGGACACAGATATTTCAAGGATTTGTGAGCTCCTCGCACAATTCAGCCTGGTTAAACCAGCTCAGATGTTCCATTAGAGTCCACGTAGAAAAGGGAAGGTATAACTGTGGTTGAGAATACCCGAAGCTTCAAGTGGATCGGACAGGCCAGGTAGCTTCTCCACATTGTTATGCAGCGGATGAAAATATACTGCCTGAATGATTCAGAGTGAGACCTCTCGTGCCAAACCAGAGCTGGTCATAAGCACACTGCCCAGGTATGGAAACCTCTCCACTCTCTTCACAACTGCCCCATTACTCATGCGGGCAGTTGAGGGGGTGGAGTGTTTGATGACACAAAATACCCAGGGAGATGCTTAGTTTGGGTGGGGCTAATGGCAAGCCCTGACCTCTTAGTAGCATGCTCCAGGTTTAGCAGGAGAGCCTCGAACTCCGAGTTGGAGGCCTCCCCATACAACACCAAGTGCTCAAAAGCAATCACCATGCCAAAGCTCCAAAATACATATATTTTAATGTGATTTTAAAAACATGACTTAACTTTCAAACCATAAACATTTATCCAGTAATTTAAATGCTTTTTAATTAACTGATTAAATTTTACACTTATAGAGCCGCTCCAATCATAACCATTGGACTAATTTAACTAACTCAGCAGCCAAAAACCACAGCCTTTGTGCATATGCAAAAACATCATTGTGCATATGCAAAACACAAAGACTGTGTGCCTTGTACAGATATTTGCGTCTGGTTAAATATGCAAATTTAGCTTTGCATCTTTCATAACATTTTACTTCAAATAGAACCTCAGAAATAAATGTTTATTTAATGAAACAATTAAACACGAAACTGTGCATCTTAATAGTCGAGAATGAACACGAGTGATCAAATTCATGACACCAAGGCCTCAACTGTTCAATGATTAGAAAACCGTAAGCACACCACAGTCAGTCGCATGCTCACGACTGTACTTGAAAAGGGGCCGAGTGGTTGTAGTCATGGACTCATGGAATGGTTGAACGCTGACCTTTGTAGCCTTAACACTTTGCTTGTGTCTTTCCAGAACAGCTTGCAACTTCTTCACTTCTCCCTGCGATGTATATACACACGCAACAATTTAGGGTCACATTGTGGCATGGCAGCAAGTTATAAAGTTCATGGATATTGAGGTACAAAGGACAGTGTAATAAATCTCACTACAAATGACGTGGACATTGGTACAATGGATTCAAGCCTAGTGGTCCTAAAAGTGTAATCATCTTTTTTAAAGGTAATTCTTCATTGATATACAGGGTGTTTTAAAAAGATGGACCCGATTTTAAATCGCTATATCTCTGCAACCATGAACCGCCCATGAATGAAAATATCACCACTTGAAAGGGCGGGGCATAGAGAGGGCGGGGCATAGAGAGGGCGGGGGCATATGGTTTCAAATGATTACCGCGAGATGCCTCTCCCAGCGCATAAACAGCCCCTCGTCTCAGTCATTCGCAAGACGCACTGCCTCAACGTTGGTTAGGTCGCACGGGACCCCAAAACTTGGCGCTACATTCTTGGCCCCCAAGATCCCCAGACATCACACCCTGAGACTTTTTCTTGTGGGGATTCATCAAAGACCGTGATTTTGTGCCACCATTAGCAACTAATCTGGATGACATCAAAACGGAATCACAGCAGCGGTGACTTCAGTGGCAGAAGACACTTTGAGAGGCATTTGGAACGAATTCAACTATCGTCTCGATGTTGTCCGTACAGCAGGTGGAGGGCACATAGAGCATTTATAAAATTGTAAGTAAAATCTGATAACTGATTAAACCGTTTGTAACTTTGTGTAATTGTAACATGTTGCCATCGTGAAACATACTGCTTTGTAATTGGGTCCATATTTTTGAAACATCCTGTATATCAATGTGTAACAAATTTGTATTTATTTTTTGTTCCTGGGTAGTGTTATTTCCTAATTGCTCATGCCTTAAAAGTACAGAAAATGGCTATTATTCCCCACAAACTTTGCTTTGTGACTAGGATAGTGATATTTTGAAATTCACCTTTTTCCAGAACATTCCAGATAAATTCAGTGCTGAGTAAATTTGGAGTAACGTCTAGAACATTCTAGAACTTTCCAGTAAAATAAATAGTAGTATAAATACAGGGGCCTTAAGCCCACCAGTTGAGTTTAGTTCCTGCTGCCTGAGTGGATACATATCTGCATTTTTCTGAGATGACATCAAGAGGCTACAAGCATCCGGCAGACGCATTTTGCTATGTTTGCGGCCAATTTATCAAGACAAGAGTGAAAAAGTACTCTGTGGAAGCATCTGCTAAGATGTGCGAGGCTTACAAGGCATATTTCGGCATGCCTGTCGGGGATCAAGACAAACCCTGGCCACCTAATTTCACCTGTGAACAATGCAAAAAAACTTTGGAAGGTAAGATGGACAATTGTTCTCGGAATTTTACGTGATAAAATTTGTTAAAATTTCAAAATTGTAAAAGTTTTAATTTTAAAATGTTTTACAATTTTCAATATTATTGAAATGTTATCGGAATTGCCTGTAACCAGAATGAGTGGCACCTCTTCATTGACAGCTCATCCAGGAGCCTCAAAGCTGTGCTGCTCCATAACGGTAACAAGTACCCGTCTCTTCTCCTGGCTCACTCGGTGCACCTCCAAGAGGATTACAACATCATCAAGACCTTGCTGGACGCCTTGAAGTATGATGAGTACGGCTGGGAGGTCATCGGAGACTTCAAAATGGTGGCATTCCTGATGGGTCTCTAAGGCGGTTTTACCAAGTTTCCCTGCTATCTTTGCCTTTGGGACAGCAGGGGCACCAAGGTGCACTACCACAGGCAGGACTGGCCACAGCGGACCGAGTTCTCTGTGGGGAGGAACAACGTCAAGTGGGAGCCACTGGTGGACCCCCGGAAAGTGCTGATGCCACCACTGCACATCAAATTGGGCCTTATGAAACAATTTGTCAGAGCTGTAGATAAGGAGTTGGCAGCCTTGAAGATCCTTGAAGACTTCTTCCCTAAGTTGTCTGAGGCACAGGTCAAAGCCAGTGTCTTCATCGGACCACAGATAAAGAAGATCCCGAAGTGCAATGAATTCCCCAATAAGCTCACTAGTAAGGAGAAAGCGACTTGGACCAGCTTTGTCGCAGTGGTTCGTGGCTTCCTGGACAATCACAAGGTCGAAAACTATGTGGAGCTGGTTGAGACTCTGGTGAAGAACTACGGCACAATGGGCTGTTGGACGTCCCTCAAAGTCCATATCCTTGATGTTCATGTTGATAAATTCAAGGAGAAAATGGGAGCGTACTTGGAGGAGCAAGGCGAGCGCTTCCACCAGGATATACTGGACTTTGAACGCCGCTACCAAGGACAGTATAACGAGAACATGATGGGAGACTACATTTGGAGGCTGATTCGTGAAAGTAATTTACAGTATAATCGTAAATCTTGAACTACTCACTTCTAAATCTTTTGTAGTCATTTTTTTATTACTTTAGTATAAATACATGCTAATTTTGATTCATGTGTTTTTTTTCCTGACTTTATGTGAACGAAAAGACACAAATACACCTGTTTTTTCATTGAAAATAGGTACATTTCAAAACTATCACGGTCCTGGTCACAAAAGCAACATTTGTGGGGAATAATAGCCATTTTCTATACTTTTTAGGCATAAGCAATTAGGAAATAACACTTACTACCCAGGAACAAAAAATGTGTTACATAGTGTATTCTATCCCCCGCTGTGCTCATCCCTGTAACGAGTCGAAGCCAATTGTGATGCAAATTGGGCGGAGTGGTCCCTGTGCATGAGAACAGACACCATGCGTGACGGAGGACTGAGGTTTTGTAAATCCTTCCTCAGTCGGGATGACAAATTGTATGTCGGGGGGGGGGGGGGGGGAGGCGTGAGAATGGATTCTCCTTCACGTCGTCACAATCCTTCATTGTGAACTTCTCCTCCACTCACTTTTCACAACTCGGTAAGATTCTCTAGACAGTAATCCCTCCTTTAATGCGGTAGATGTGTTCCTGTAAAGTGCCACGTTAAGAGAACACTTACTCTACTGAATAACATCTGAATGATAAAATCAGCCTGCAGTCACAGCATGGTGGGACGAAGAACTGAGATGAGGGCACGCCAACACGTACAGTATCTAACCCCAAATAGCTGTGCAGCTATAGTAGTTCGTTGCTGACCACTCAGAAACCGTGTTTGTAACGGGCGTGTTCCAGGTTGTGCGAAAAGTGTACCCAAATAGAAGAACCGTGTTGTAGCGAAAATGCGTTGTATGACAACGGGTTCGGTGAGGACTTCCGTATATGCCTGCACATCTGCCACATTCATCATTTCTTGAATCCCATTGCTGAAATATTCTTTCATCACCATGAACAAAATGCAACTCAGTTCTCTAGTCTGCCTAAACTCCCGATGATAAAGAAGCCAATGCCAGACTTGTTATCCATACCAATAAATGCAACCACTTTTATTCAAATCACAGATCTCTTAAATGTTTTCAAATCTAATATGGATCCACTTATGTCCTCAGTCTACAAAGATTGCCCTCAATTTTCTTAAATATTCCATGTGTTCTTGCCCCACGTACCACACCTAACCCTTTTCCCCTGTGCCTATGATGGTTATATTGTTTATTCTTAAGTGTGATCCTATACAACATACAGATGTTTAACGATTAATTTTTCCTCACTGTATAAAAACTCCTGACAGTAGGCCCACCAACCAGATTGACCACATTATTATCAGTAGCAAGTGGCGCAGGTCACTCTCCAGGATGTTAGAACATACCGTGGTGCAGATTCCCATAGCGACCACTATCTTGTCACTGCCACTATCAAGCTCAAGAGGGCCATACCACAAGTTCAGCGCCGGAAACAACTGGACAATGCGAAAAAAGAACAAAGAGTTTGTCATGGAGCTACAGAACCCTTTTAGTGCTATAAATGCCACCACTGAAATGGAGGATGAGCAAAACATGAACAGAAAATGGGATAACATCAAGAACACCTACATTGAAGCAGTGCAAAGGGCCCTAGGTTTCAAACAAAAGGGGGCTAAAGAGTGGATAATACCAGATACATGGCAAAAAATTTAAGAGAGAAAATAATCGAAAACAAAGTTACTAAACTCCACGTCAACAAAGCTCCAGAAACGGTGACCCCACTGGAGTTTGTGGACGACTTCACCTACCTGGGTAGCCTCATTAGCAAGGACAGCGGGGCCCATAAAGGTATCAAGGCAAGGTTGGGAAAAGCTAGGGGCACCTTCTGTCAACTGCTAACCATTTGTAAGCCCAAACAGTACAATCTGAAAACCAAAGTCCAAATACACAACAGCAATGTCAAGTTCATCCTGCTATATGGCTATGAATGCTGGAGGGTCGTGAAAGCAGACGTGAAAAAGGTTGAGGCCTTTCCACAATGGATGCCTCAGATATATCTGTCGTATATTTTGGACAAACAAAATATCCAGTCGTGAATTGTATTTGAAGACCCAAAGCCGGAATATCACAAAGGAGATAAAACAACAAAGACTGTGATGGCTAGGCCATGTCCTAAGAATGGAATAGAACCGCATCGCTAAAATTGCTCTGAGATGGACGCCTCCGGGAAAAAGAAAACCGAGGAGGCCAAAAACCACCTGGCGAAGAAAGGCCAACGAAGAGCTTGGTCAGATGAAGCTCTCATAGGGAGAGGCACAGCATGCAGCCAAGGACAGGAACAGATGGAGAGAGCTCATTTAGCCGTTTGTCCCAAAGGGGATGAAAAGTATAACATCTCCATTGACACCATTCTAATCCATTCCATGTTGTCCTTTGTGACAGCCATTAAAGTTTCCCTGCCGTGTAACATCTTGAGCTGATTTAGCATTTCCCCACTTTATAAATCCAAACTGCTGAAAAACCTGACACATCAAGGAAAAGGCATTGCAGTTTCCAAGATACGAGTGGGTATGGATCGTAGGTACAAATCAAAGTTAAAATAGGTAATTTTGGGAAAATTTTTTGACACTGCCACGAAAAAAAACACCCGTTGCTGTATGTACGTTGAACTTCCTTCCCACCGTATGTAGCCAACCGTGCTAATCGGAGGTGTGGGAGGAAGACAAACTAAACAAAAAATAATATAACAAAAACCCTTGAGAAAATGGTTTATACCTCAATATATGCCTACACACAATAAATATATTAAAGCTTACAGCATCGTCGTAGCAGTAAATATATTGATAATTGGCGTCGCAAAACTTTTGTCAGAGAGAATAACACTTCAAAACTTTTGTCAGAGAGAATAACACTTCAAAACTTTTGTCAGAGAGAATAACACTGGATCACACGAATGCACTCATTTAACAATACACATTTACGAAATATCATGCAAAAGTTTGAGTAAGCAGTGATTAGGGACAGAGAACATCCCATATAGATGCTCAACTCCACAAAGGCACATTCACCTCTTCCTGTTGGAGCTTCACGGACGCTTCAACGACCACTTTTTGGTATTCTTCCTGCTTCTCTCTGCAGAAACAGAACATCAAGAAGTGGAAAATGCAATGTTCCCAACTCATGAAAATCAACTCATGAGCATTAAAGAATGTGCAGAAAAAAATAACATGCCATGTAGCACCTGTAATGCACTGTCCCGGCAACAAATGTCTGTTTAACCCAGGTTTTATAATATGTTAAAATAGAGTTTTCACATTATTTGTATTTATACAGTATAGTATTGTGACGAAAGGCAACCTTGTATAGAAACAGAATGACAAAAACACACGGAGGAAACATACTGTTTGGTGACTTATGTCCTGCTGCCTGCAACACAAACCTTAGTACTGTAGCAATGTATCCTGCATCATCCACAAGCAGGGTACACAACAAGTGTGGCATTCCACACCCCAGCACTGCCAACAATTGCTAGGAGATAATCGTACATTCTAGCATTTACATTTGTCATGGGGGTGCACCAAATAGGATTTTGTACGATTTAGCCAAAACAAAAATACTTTATGTTCTGAAAATCCAGTGATTAAAAAAAGTGCTTCTTAAAATAAACTGGAAAGTCCGTCTTTCTTGTCTTAGCCCCTCTGTCTCCCTCTTGATGTTTCTCTCCATCTCCACCTGTCTCTATGTCTTTGACAAGGTCTCTGTATCAGTCTGTCCATGTCTCTCTTTGCTTATCTCCTTGTGTCCCAAGACTCTTTGTTTCCCTATGTGCTTCCTCTCTCTGTCTTTGTCTGTCTCAGTGAAACTCTGTCTCCCCCTCTCTTTGTCTCCGCTTGCCTTTATTTCTCCATCCATTTGATATTGTCTATCTCTCCGTTGTTCTGTCCGCTGCTGTTTATTTGTGTTTTTCTGGCAATCCTTTTTCAGTCGTTTTTTTAGGTGAAAATTGTCTATTCCAAAGATGGTAGAATGTACATCCAGAGCAAAACCACAGCCAACTTCCTGAAACGTGGCAGCTATGTTATTCACCACAGAATAACAATGCAAGTCAATGCCAGACTGGAATTTTAACTCGCAACTCTTCACCTTTAAAGGGACCAGACAGATGGACACAACACCATACATTAAAGCAAAACTTTATCCGAGTTATCAGCAGGTTGTGAGCTCTTAAATACTGATGTGCCTGGTGTTGTAGGCGATAGCACACACACAATCCAGTGCTCTAAAAGGCCCTGCCTGGGAAACCTAGCCATAGGAGCCAAGGCGCACCAACAGCCACTCCCCGGTGTCTCATTCAGGCCTACAGATATACTGCTTCCTGTGCACCTGGTGTGAACGCTAAGATTACTATTGCTAATTAAATACTTCCAAGGTTAAACGCATGTTGGAAGGCTTAACAGGATCCAGGCATATGTTTGATTTTGGTGACAAGACATTCATCGTGCACAAAAGAAGTAATGCTGTCACTGTGGCACATGACCCAAGCAGTTGTGAAGAGCTCCAATGGGCACCTCAACTCCAGACGGCTGACGGTACCTGATAGCCAGCTCCAGGTGAGATTTCTCAGCGAGCAATTCAGCCGTGCGTCGCTCCACTTCAAGTGACAGCTGTTTTCCCCTTGCGGCCTGCAATTGCTGCTGCCGCCGAAGCAGTGCTATGTTGAGCGAGGGCAGAAGAGCGATTGCGTCCGCCAGGTCCTCGATGGAACGTCCACCCGAGCCCTGCAGCTTCAGGGCTTGCTGCACGGTGCTCATCACGTGCTCTGTCTGTCAAAAGTTCACCGAGTACAGAGATGCTGCATGATGACGAGCTGACCCCTGACTTCTAATCTTTACATTTTTGTTCAGTGGTTGTCAATAACCCAATGGAAACATGGCGGTGGTCTCATAACCCACTGCGTTAGTCAGCCGGATTACAGGTTTTTAGCCATTCATGTTGGTTTTGAGAAGTTTCAAATACTTTTTTTAAAAGAAATACACGCGATAGTTCTCATTAAAAAATATACTTCATTGTTTATTTAGAAATATATCAGAATATTTATTTATACTGGAGGAATCCGATGAGCCATACAGTTATTTTTCAAAGATGTCAGTAGGAATGAGTAAGAATATTACAACAAACAATCCAAAAACACGATAGGAGTGCAAAGTACAGGCAAGACAAAAAAATCACCCCAACACATACAAATGTAATGAGCGACTTCTGCGACACATGTAGAGGGCACTTTATTTATCACACTGGGCACAACACGGGCCAACACTGGTTCTTCTTCACACGAATATATTCTTAGATGCTAACGTCTCTACGACTACACACAGCCGATCACTCGGCGTGGTCCCATCGTCTACGCTTGGCTACGCCGTTGGTTGACGGCGTGACGATGTCGGCGATGGAGACCCCGCAGACGATCTTCCACGTGGTCGGACGACGGAGAGAGATGGCGGCGAGTAGTGACGTGGCCAGGACCCAGACCCCACGGACAAGCCCCGAGCTCTGGGTCCGCTCCCCCTCATATCCCCCAGGCGTGACTAAGCCCCGCCTCCGGGCACTCCCTCTCGTGGAACCTTCGAGCAGGTTCCCGAAGTATCTCGGCTCACCCCATCTGTTACCTTTGGCCCAGATCCACCTCCTTCACGGATTGGTTGTTACTTGAACAGTGCCTGTACCCGTTCTTAGGCCTCGGCGAGGTAAGGTAATTGACCCTTTTTACCGGGTAAAAGGGTAAAGGGTAAAAGTGTCAACATGCCAAGGGGTAAGGTAAAGGGTAGGGTAAAGGTATCGTGGATGAATTACCCGGTAGGGTAAAGGTAGCGTGAAGTATTACCCGGTAAATACGGTACCTTGTTTACCGCTAAAAGCTCCGTGGCGCAGTCCGTGGCCTCCATTTAATATTTAAAAAAACTTTTTTTAAAACACGCTTTTATGAAATATACTAGTGATGGCAGAACTCTACGACTCCAGGAAGTGGCCCCGAAGCTTGCCATAACGTAAGGGACCGTGGCCAATTACAGCCAACGTCAGTTGATCGTGGACAATTAGACCCAAGCCGAAACATAACGTATGAAAAAGAATGTTTATAAAATATATATTTAATGATAGAATATAGTATTGTCATTAGTATGACATAAGTATACCAAGTTTGCAGTCGATACCACATTGGGAAGTGGGTTAAAATTGAGTTACAAGATTTGAGGATACAACGACAACAACAACGTGCGTGTAAAATTGGAATCATCAAGAGTATTCTATATTAATAAAGCGCTCTACCTAGCATTTACCATTATAAACCTTTTTAATGTGTAGTACCCCAGTAATTACCCTGTAATCGGGTAATTTGGATGGGGTAAGGGTAAAAGGTAGGGTAAAGGTTGGCTCGTTGCTTTTTACCTTTTACCTTACCTGCTAAAGGGTAAAAGGTAGGGTAAAGTGATTGTATTGTAGTAAGGTAAAAGTAGGGTAAAGGTAGGCTCGTTTTTACCTTTAACCTTACCTTGCCAAGGCCTACCTGTACTTCCTGCAGGAACAACCCGCAGGAACATTTAACAACATCTAAAAGGCACGGGATGATGGGAAAATGGCGAGAAAGAACAACAGAGTAAAGAGAGATAACCATCAACATAAGTGTAGTGGGTATAAACACTCTCAACCAGGCTTAGGAGGCAACACGTTTATTCAACATGAACTCACTAACACCTGGGGTCACGACCCCTTCACCCGAATAGCTAGGATGATAACACACCCGACCTAGCTAACCTAACACACACTATTGCGCACTCAACCTACCCCCCCTGCACGAGTCTGAGTCCCCATGTGGGGTCTTCATCAGACTTCAATGCTCAGTCTTCTCCGCAGCTCAAACTGCCTGATCCTCTCCTCGGGGACCGGCTTTTCCCTGGTGCAGGTACTGTCCCCATCCTCCATCCAAACGAGGCGGTTACCGTATGCACCCCACCCTGCCAGTGCGGGTACTGTACGCACCCCGCCCTGACAGTACATCGCGGGGTGTACCTTGGCCCAGCGAGTTCCACGCCCGGCAGTACGCGACGAAGTCGCTACATCAGCAACCAACACAATCCCGGTCCAGAACAGGGGCGGTCTTCATCTCCAGCACAGGGGGTGTGCACACCACCGGAACCCCCGGAGAAGTAGGTGGCGGCATCAAAGGTGCAGCAGGCTCGACGGCGGCAGGCAACTCCTCAAGTTCGGTGAGGCTTCGAAGTCCGTAAACTGTCATGGGCTCGGACGCTGTGGGCGGCACGACACAATCCTTCTGACTTACTGTCATGGGCTCGGACGCTGTGGGCGGCACGACACAATCCTTCTGACCTCTGCCCTCCGCCCGCACAACCCCGGGCTCGTTAGACATAACAGACACCGGCCGGCTAGTCTTTGGGGATGAAGAATAGCTCGAGGAGGAACAAACGTTTTCAACCGCGACGGATGGACAAACCACCGGCGGCCTCCCACCCGCATATGTACACACTGCGGCCGTTTGACCTCGATTACTTCCGCGGGACCTTGCCAAGGCTTATGCAGCTTACGGGACGTACCCACCAGCAACCGTGGGCAATGCAACCATGCCGTCACCTATGGACCACAGTAGCATGTGATCCCGCTTCCCTTCATTCCACTCGTTAGCCTCCTGTGCTTTGGCGGCGTTCACTTTGGCTGTTTCTCGAGCCACCGAAATGCGGCCGCTCTACCATCCCATCCGTCTGGGGATGGTATGGCGATGTTCTAATTTTCTTAGTGCCCAAAGCATCACAGACCTCGTGCAGCAGCTTCGAGGAAAAATTCCGGCCCTGGTCAGTGAGCAACTGCTCAGAGGGCCCCTTTGTCCATGACATATCCGTACAAAACGCCTCAGCAATCGAAGCTGCCGACTGGTCAGGCAGCGGCCAAGCCACAGGCCATCGCGAAAAATACTCAACCCCCACCAAGAGGAATTTATTCACACTTGGAGTGGCCAGGAAGGGTCCGAGGATAGAGCGCAACCAACTCGTTAATCCGTGAAACCGAAATAGATTGCAGCGGAGGCTAGTTTCCAACGCGCACACTCGGGACACCTTTGGACTAAGTGATAGACATCACTAGACTTACCTGGCCAATAATAGTCATGCTGCAGTGTTAATGTCTTCCGGACCCCAAGATGCAACAATTTAACCTCATGCACCACTCGAATCAATTCGCCTCGAAGAGAGGTGGGGACAACAATGTCACACCACATCGTCCCTCAATATCAAGAGGTCATCCTGAAGGACCATTCGCGGCCCATCAGCAGGCGCCAAAGCTTTCGGTTCCAATTCCGCGCGACGCCGCAAGGCCGTCAGAGAGCTCATCTCCAATTGCTCTCGAACCCATTCCGAGTGCATAAGGTGTAAAACGCTATCCGCAGGTGCAAACACCTCGGCAGGCTTTGCATCCTCGTACGCTGCCATGACGGTAGCAGAATCTGCTGTTGGAGGTTTACAACGGCCCGCACAGGACGAACATGCACACTAGGTGACTCAGGCAAACGGGACAACGCGTCCGCGTTGCAATGTCGAATCTCCTTCCCAGTCCGTACAATAGCACCAATCACACCATCGGTCGCATCGGCATTATTCTCAAAGTGGTTGTCGCATGAGCCAATACTGTACCCGCCCGGACCATAACCGTTCCTAGGCATACGTTAAACACCTGCAAGAATGGCTCCTGGTCAATGCGAAGGACCGTCTGTGCGCCTACCAGCGCCAATCCACGGGTTGCCGTATTCGACGGGGTCAACACCCGCCCTTGGATCTACCTTATCCAACCGCTTGCGATAGCGTAACGGTACGAGCATATGCGAGCTCGGTGAAATTTCCACCAAGTCCTGAGCGAGGGCTTGGATCATGACACACGCTGCCGAACTCTTGTGCGGAAACGGCAAGAAAAACAATTTGCAACCTGACGGCATTTCTACGCAACCTTGATTGACCAGAATCTTAACAGGCATCTTTCTTATAAAATGTGTACCCAGGAGGCATGGCACGGCCAGCATGCTTGAGATGAGCACAGGCCCGACCACAGCGACTTCACCAATTTCAATACGGGCTTCCACTTGCCCAATGGTGCCCATGCTCCCACCGTTCGCCGCGACACAAACATTCACAACGGGTCGCAAGTGCCTTACAGATAATGGTAACAATTGGAAAATGACATCGGAAATAATGGTGGTCGAAGCTCCAGTGTCAACCAAGACACGAACCTCAATTCCCTGAATAAAGCCAGATACCGCCGAGGAACCCGCAACCGCCGGGATTACCCGACGCGCCAATTTTCTCCACTGCGTCCCCGAGCTAGGCCACCCATGCGTAACAAAATTCTGCTGCCCAGTGTAAATGTGTGCATAAGAGATGACCCTCGAACCCCTAGATGTTTGAGATTGCACTATGGGCCGGGTGTCTGATGTGTCTCGACTCGCCTGTTGGGTCCGAGATGTGGCCGTTGGTGGAGCTGAGGGCGCCGGAGTCGGGGTCGCTACCCAAGGACCTTTCTGACATCCCCGCACGAAGTGCCCCAGCTGGACGCAGCGGAAGCAGGTCAGTGAAGACCACCGCAGCATGCCGTCTCCTCGCTCCTGCGATCTCCAGCTCCGCTGGCGCCGCGCGGCATCGCCTCTCATCTGACTCCACACCGGGAGCGCAGCAGCGATGTCCTCCTTCGACGTCGCCTCTTCAGCTGGACGCACCACGACGTACCGCGGCAACCACCCCTTCGGCTCCCAGTCCCGGCTGGGATCCCCCATCCACGCAGCCATCCGAGCCCATCGTTGCAAATTCTCATGGGCATGAAGACACCTGGCGGCCCATCGGGACGTCTGTTCATTTTCATCCGACCCAGGTAAGATAACTCCCATCTGTCGTGCCAGTCCCAAAATCCTTTCCATGACGAGCGAGTCGAGGGCCTTCGGATCCACATCAGGGTAAGCTGCTCCCGCCAGAGCGCCTTGCGGTAGGCGAGAGGCGTCTCGGCCTCCCCTCGCCTACGATGAATACATTTCCTGCGCCTGTCGGAAGGCGGCTTGTACACGTCTGTCATCTCGGCATAAGCACCCTGAAGTGTGGCCTTCTTAGCAGCGGGAATAGACCTGAAAACAGCAAGAGCGTCGTCGTCCAAAACAGTTGGCAGGGCCATCAGCGCCTCTTCTTCCGTCCAATGCACCGATCGGAAGGCCGCTTCAAATCGCCAAGTGGAGGCGCTCCAATCGCCTCCTGCTGCGACAAATTCTGTAACTTCAGGTAATCTGCGAGTACGGTCGGTTCCTCTATTTTCGTTTCTAGTGGCTGATGCCGCAGTCTTGCACACCACGCTCGATTTGTAAAATGGCGAACTCCATCCGCGCGTCCTCCTTACCGCCCGTAATGGCGGCCCCCTGCTGCGCATTCTCCACGCCACGTGTAATAGCACCCGTCGCGCCAGCGTTTGTTCCCGCCAAAACGTAAATTCGAGACTCCTGGTCGTTCTTTCACGGGGATGTCAGTGCAGAGTGTCCCGCCACCATAGTCTCCGTGACGAGCGTTACCAACTGCATGACAACCGCCTGCAACAGGTCCAGCTGGACCGACACCACCCGCCAGTCGTATTCGGTACGTTGGTGTGGAGTGGCTGCTCCGGGATCCACCATCTCTGGCGCAGCCAACTCACTCGCCGTGGCTTAAATAACCGGGACCATGGTTCCCGGGGCTGGTGGGAGGTCTTGGGTCGCACTTTCATTAGTCGTAAGAAAGAAGCCACAGGTGGGTTCCTTTTCTTCTCATGTTTAGGCATATTCCCTTCTTCGCTGTCTAGACAATTCTGTTTCCAACCACTTCTGACTCCAATGTAATGAGCGACTTCCGTGACACCTCGTGTAGAGGGTACTTCTTTATTTATCACACCGGACACAACACGGGCCAACACTGGTTCTTCTTCACACGGATATATTCTTAGATGCTAACGTCTCTACGACTACACACAGCTGATCACTAGGCGTGGTCCCATCGCCTACGCTCGGCTACGCCGTTGGTTGGTGGCGTGACGATGTCGGCAATAGAGACCCCGTAGACGATCTTCCACGTGGCCGGACGACGGTGAGAGATGACAAGTAGTGATGTGGCCGGGACCCAGACCCCACGGACATGCCCCGAGATCTGGGTCCGCTCCCCCTTTGTCCCCCCTGACGTGACTAGGCCCCGCCTCTGGGCACGCCCTCTCGTGGAACTTTCGAGCAGGTTCCCGAAGTATCTCGGCTAACCCCACGTGTTACCTTTGGCCCAGATCCACCTCCTTCACTGATTGGTTGTTACTTCAACAGTGCCCGTACCCATACTTCCCTTTCCAGGCCAGCAAGTGTCACTGTCATTACACAAATAAAACTAAACCATCCCCATCCTGCCGGGCAAAGCCCACTGAGGTTTTTACTTATTTTTTAGACGTAACCTGGACACAAACAATAGCTCAACAAAGTGGCTTATCATTTGGACATTTATATGGAACATGAAAATTGTTACAGTATTTTTACAGTATTAAAATTTTCAATGTTGTATAATGTTACAAAAAAACTTTAATGTTTCTATTGCCAGCAATGGAGAAAATCTCCACCGTTTTGGCCATTTTGTAAAGATGTCAATCTAACCCATAGTGTCCAGTGGTGTAGTATATACAAAAAAAACACCGCTTAATTTGTTTATGCAATCACTCAGTTTTTGAACATGCAAATCTTCAAAAAATACGCTGCGTGATGAATATCAGTAAATGTGATTCAGGTTTACAAATCAACCCCGATGAACCTTGGAGAGCGGATTTGAGTTCAAAAGAACTCACAAACAAACACCTTGTGACTCAACACAGACGATCCCTGAGTTTGATCTTCCACGAAGCACGTGGTCCACATTAAACCGCATCCACTGCACAAACCACAGCAGTAGATGCGAATACCTGATGCATACATGGAAAATTAAAAACTCTCCAGTGTGCGACTGTGGTCATCCGGAACAGACCATACAACACATAACGACACAATGCCCGATCCACAACTATGAAGGAGACATCACAGTGATACACTCCGCTGCTCATGACGTGGTTATCTGGCTTGACCACCTGAATGTGAAATTGTAGTTGTTGCTCTGCATCTACATCAGCTGTGCGAAAAAAGAGGTTTAACAAACTGTGCAAGGGTTGGTGCAAAGTTCTCACCATTTTATCTGCATCCTGCTGCACCTTTTCTAATGAGGCCACAATATATTCTTTATTCTCCGCCAACTTCTTATGCTGCCGTGTCAATAAAAGATGCTCCTCCTGCGCAGCCACAATGCACAAACACTTTACACTCACTGTAGGGACGCGAGGCCGATATAGCCCATTGAACACGAAGCCATCACACATTAACAGATGCTCGGAAATGTTATCCCATAGCCATACAGGTCTCCATGTTAATATGTGGAGGACTTGCACAGTTCCTAATTGATATTTAAGCAAATAAGAAATTACAGACTTCTCATCAGGAGGCCCAGTTGTTCCTGACATGTAATTATATTATGCAAAATCCTTCACTGGGTCAACATCACTCTTATTTACCACTGTGATCACACCCAATGCATCATTCTCATGGACTTTACTCTAGGCAACATTAAACATTGTAGAAGGCAAACACTGTCCAAAGATTTTGATTTAAAGCTTTCGTGACTGCAGGGATTCATATTCTTGGTTCTTTCGGTAAAGTCACGTAGAAGGAAAGCAATAAAATAATAAAAATATAAAACAATACAATTCTCACGACGTTTCGACTGCAACACAAGCAATCAGCATCAGGTGTGAAAACCACAGCAAGAAAATTTTAAAAAAGTGGCAGTTATTTTTAACGTTATTGTTTTATATTTTTATTATTTTATTGTTTCCCTTCTACATGACTTTACCGAAATAACCAAGAATATACTGTCCAAAGATGTATGGGGATTTCACGTATCCTAGACTGGTCCACAATTTTCCCCGATAAAGGGAAGTTATGGTAGTATGCATAAAATGATGTCAAGTACAAGGGCACTACCCTCACCTTCAGCTTGCTTAAGAGGTCGAGATGGCGTTTATGCTCCAGGAAGACAAGGTCTGGGGTGCACTGCTCGTAGCCACCCAGTTCCTTCACCATATATTTCACTTCCGCAACACCCCCTGCTTGCATACACACGAGGCACACATCACAGTGCTATTACAGTTGATCATCGATTATCCGGCGTGCCATTATCAGGCTTCCAACATTATCCGGCGGTCCCAGGCCAATCCGGCAAAACCAGCAAAACCGCTCCAAAGGCTGTAACCAGTCCGGCCATCGTCAAACACAATCATGTTGTTGAAACATGTACGTAGTGCGTACAACACCCCATGCAGAGTCAACGGGATTGAAGTGGTAAATACGGTACCGTAAATACAGTACCTTTTTATAGGATATTTGTGTCTATTTGCATGTTTATTTATGTCAATTTCATATAGCAAACAAATGTAAAACACTAAATACAACACCTAAAACCATGTCATACAAAAATATGCAAAAATAATCTTTGTTAAATAATGAGTAATTGGCCGGCATTTTTGAAAATCCGACACCCCCCCCCCGAAAAATCGATGATCTACTACTACTAGGCTTGTTTAACCAGGAAAGTCTCACCGAGTCTGAAGACTCTTTGCTTGGAGGGTCCTGCCAAGTGTTTTTCAGTTGGGGGGCGATGTTGCTGCTGTGCAATCCCATGAGCCATTTTTCAGGATTTTTTTTTAGCATTCAGTCCATAAGCCAAGACCAGCTATTTTAATTGTCAGTAACACCAGATGTGACAAAACAACGAGCGGAGCGCCGGGTGGCTAAAACACAGCAAGTTGGCCCAGTAGGGGGCACAGGTGGTGCATCGGCCAGTCATCTCAGTCAGTCGACCCACGGCACTTGGGTCTGCCCCATGACCTCCTGCCAGCGGGCGTTCGACACTTCACGTGGCCTTAACGTGCACAAAGCCTGGTACAAGCGCCGTGGTGACGTCACCGCCACTTAGTGGCGCATGGCGGTTATTGTTGACATGACTTTAATGGTTGTAATTCATTTATGCGATAACCATTTGAAATGAGCGGGTTATTAAATAAGCCGTGTAAATACATCGGTACTACTAAAGTTTTGCTGCTTCAGGTAGTACCAATTTCAATGTGTGCTCTGGCCCATCCATCCAGGCACCATCCACCTTTAGCAAACAGCTCAAGGCTCACCTGTTAAGGCTGGTGACGAGCTTTGAGCTCTGGCTCAGTGCCTCCGAGATCAAACATTGTGTCCAATTCACAAAATATTTGCGCATTAGAAATTGCCTTTATAATTATAAATACATTGTGTGTTTTTAGCTATGGGAGAAAATCGGAGAACCCTGAGAAAACCTATGCAGAACAGGGGGACAGCATACAAACTCCACATATAGAGGTGTCCCGAATCAGGAATGAACCCAGGCCTCGCTTCCTCCGAGACACGAATGTTACCACTGCGTCACCCTGCCGCCTATCACTCATTGCCGTCCACTGTTGTGCACACAAGTATAGTTAGATTGCACACAGCTATAGAATAAAAACAAGTTAACAACTTGAAAGATGAGTCCAGACCGGGTCTGCACTGCTGACTGAATGTTTACCCAATTTACAAATGCTTTTAACAAATTTAAATTCTGATCTTTGCACTGCAGTCTACATTCTCCATTTGCAGCACTCTAGTCAACATAGGCACATGTTAATGCAAAATTGGCCTCAAGGATAGATACAATTTGTGTTCATAACATAATAACCAAGATAATATCAATCCAATAATAATGCTTACTTGTCAAAGGGATGCTGCAGTTGGTGTTTGCTTCAGCATTTGTGTTTATCTGCCCAGTTGTTTGATCTTCCACCTCATTGTTGGGTAAAGATACCTTTAAACATTGTTCAGCAAACTGCGATGTGTTTTCTACATCTTGGTTGTTCACACCACGTTGGTTGTCATCCATAATTTCAGCCGCGATTGCGTTGCTCGTGTTGGCACCATCCAGCTTGTGCATATCTTCTGCTGTCGCCAGATTTGCTGGCTCCACCTGCGACTGTAATGCCGGATTTTCATGAGTTTCACAAGCAGCTTGCGATGGCAAATTATTCTGTCTCCCGCCAGGAGCAGCTGTCTGTTCAAGAGTCGGTGCAGGCGTTTCCTCCGAGCTTGGGACATCGGTAGGCGGCGTGCGTGGTAATTGTCTTCCCGTGGGAATTGTGTTGCTCGCTAAATTTTCAACTAACTTATTAACTATTTTCATAGGTTCAAGCTTTTTCTCTTTTCCTTTTTTATGTTTATCAGGCTGCGTGGTTTGATGTTTTGCAGGCATGACGAGCAAGTCACTTTGACCAGCTACTGGCCCTTGTTGATCAATGTCACACGCTTCATAATAAAAGAGCTGAGACGGCAGCGCTGGCAGGATTCCTGGTGCCGGTGTCCGTGGAATCTGTCGGCCGGGGTGGAGCAGGTTTCCAGGCTTAGGGTAGTCGATTAGGCGCCGCTTAGGACTCGCCATCTCCTCATGCTCCACTGCTTTCCTTTTTCCCACTTTACCATCGTTGAGCTCTTCGGCTACGCGCTCGAAAGCACTGGCATCCCTCGACACGTCCGAGTTTTCTGAGAAATCCAACTTCAGCTGCGTGGGTTGTCCAGGGGTCGCAAGTGGAGAGCGAGGTAATTCCCGAGCGCCACGGAAAGGAGTACCGAGACTCATAGGAATCCCCTGTATATCAGAAGGCGCAGAATGTGGTATGTTGATTATATTCAAATATTACCATTTTCCTTTACCACTTATGATAATTATAATTCTAACCACAATCCTACTCTATGCATTGCTGCGACATTGCATATTCCAGAGATGTAATAGTTATATTACACTATTTTAAATGTAGGGGTGACGCATTCCTGTAATCCAGCATACAAATCTGCTTGCATGTGGTGGATCATGCAGACCTGTGAAACTCCTAAACCTGCTCAATTGCAAGATGGCCAAAGGATGGCAGCACAGCAATCGGTTCATGTACAGGTCTCTCCAAACGCGAGCGTTTCCAAAATGTGTGGATTTTCTAATTGTTTCTCACAAGGAAAAAAAACGAATGTTGTCCATTTCCCAATTTTATACCAATTGTGCTATTTGTGCAATGTCACGAGACAAAAGTATCCATTCAGAACTTTTGCAGAACACTGCATGAGCTCATGTTGGAGAACGGCCTCGGGAAGATGATCACAGAATTGTACGATGTCCTGTCAAGTGATTTATTTTATTCACACTAAGGGTGCTGCAATTTACCACATGCCCTGCTAGACATGTTCACCACATGTATGTATATATGTATGTTGAACTTTTTTCACACCGTATGTAGCCAAAAATGGTAATTGGAGGTGCAAGGGAAAATCAGAGGTGCGGGAGGAAATAGGAGATGGGGGGGAATTCAGAGATGTAGGGAGAATTCAAAGATGTGGGGGGAAATGGGAGGTGCAGGGAAAAGCAGAGGTGTAGTGAAAGGGCTATTTTTTATTATCAAGACGCGGAACTTTGCCAAATTTATTTAAAACTAAATATATAGTAAAAAAAATGGTTGTGCAGTCATTGGTGACTGGGCTAGACCATCAACTCGCTCCACATGAAGAGTTTAATCGCGGGTGGATGAAAACCAATTTTTAAACCCACTCCCGAGTCACCCAGACACCTCAGGCAAATGGCATTTAAAAGAAAATTGCCAGAATACAAATGCTGGACCCACATGAGGACTTGAAATTCAATGAATTTTTTTTTATATCATCAGAAATGAATGATGCCCATATAAGCCGCATTCATATCAGCAAATGGCTGAAGGTGCTCACCAAACCCTGAACCCATCTTGCTAATCACACATTGCCACTTTCCTACTTGACATCTCTCCTCAATCGGTCTCTCTAGGCTGGAGTTTTTCCCAATCTCTTGACCTCACATATCATCACCATGCTCAACTTTTCAATTTGTATATTCGGTCTGGTCACTGAACACCCAAATCAAGTTCATTACTCTTTGGCCAGCATATTATTTGTCAAAATTACATGTACCATGGTGAGGCATGAGTGCAGATTGTGTCCCTATGCTCACTCAGTGCCACAAAAGCAATGCTGTCTGGGTTAGAGTTTTGAAATCCTCTGGTTATGAAATACAAGGACTTTTGCATTCCTCACTCACATCTCGTAGTTTGTGCCCCTGGCCTGGGGTCAGGCCCTGGGTCTCAGATGGCGGCACGTTCTCCATCGGCACGTTCTCCATCGGCACAATCCCACTTGATTCGCTCATCCCTCCCTACCACATCAATCTGCGGGGGATGAAACCAAACAGTACATGTTATCAACATTTGAAGGTAACAGGATTGAAGCAAGGATCTGCTGAGAAAACAATGCCTGGGTGATAGTTTCAAAGCTGCAGTAACCAGGAGTGATGCACTATCACTTTTTACTGTATGGCTGCATACTGAATACCTTATCTTGGTATTTTTTACATCCAAATGTAAAGCCGAGTATAGTAATACCTCTGCTATCTAGAATTTGGATATATCTAGCCCTAAAACAAACCCAACCCTGATGCACACGGCCCCTCATGCACACAGCCCTGATACACACACAGCCCAGATACACACACAGGCCTGACACGCAAAGAGCCCTGACACACACACAGCCCCGACACCGGTCTGACATACACACAGCCCTGACACACAGAGCCCTGTCACATACACGGCCCTGACACATACACAGCCCTGATAGACACACAGCCCTGACAAACTTGACACACAAACAGCTGATACGCACAGCAAACTGCGATGCCATGTTGCAAGGAACTGGCACCCATATCCGGCAGGGAGATATGGGTGCAAGTTGGTGCACTGCGGTGGCGAGATGTTAACTACCTCGCCTGATATACAGGTCGTGAGTTCGATCCCGACCCTGACCGCCTGTATATTTGGAGTTTGCATGTCTCTCTCTCCCCGTGGTCGCGTGTATTTTTCTCCGGGTCATCCGGTTTTCCCCTCCACATTTAGAAGCAACATCACTGCTATAAAGCTTATTAGCCAGTTTCACCACCATGGGAGCATGACAAGTCCGACTCTGCCGAGACACTGAATATCGAAAACGCATCCAGTTTGGCTTGTCTTCAACCAATGTGGCTGTTATTATAGACTCCTGGTGTGGGCGTGACTTAATAAATGCGTAATAGAAATACTTGTGGACTGTATAAATATTAAAAAATTCCAGTGGAAAGGGCAGTGTTAGCCAACCGTGCTAATTGCACCTCAAGATTAGCACGGTTGACCACGTACGGTGTGAAATAAGTTCAACGTACATACACTAAAAAATAAGAATAGGTTTTACCCTTTCTGGCAATAAAATAGGTGTTTAATCGAAAAATAAAATAGGTGTTAAGATGTTCAAACACCAAAACAGAAACCTGCATTAAAACCACACACTTGTGGTGGTGAACATGCAAAAAAAAGCAATATTAAAAAAAACTTTTTTTTAAACACGCTTTTATGAAATGTACTAGTAATGGCAGAACTCCAATACTCCCGGAAGCGGGCCCCGGAAGCTTTCCATAACATAAGGAATCGTGGCCAACGACAGCCAATGTCAATTCACCATGGACAATTAAACCCAAGCCGAAACATAACATGGAAAAAAAATTGATTTAAAGCTTTCGTGACTGCAGGGATTCATATTCTTGGTTCTTTCGGTAAAGTCACGTAGAAGGGAAACGATAAAATAATATAGCAGTGATGTTTTATATATTTTGTATTATTTTATTGTTTCCCTTCTACGTGACTTTACCGAAAGAACCAATATAGAAAAAAATGTTTTATTTTTTTAATACCAAGTTTGCAGTCGATACCACATTGGGAAGTGGGTTAAAATTGAGTTAAAAGATTTGAGTTAAATAAAAGCGTGTGAAAAGGTCCCATTTTGTCGCTGTTCACCCCGAGCTAACACATTCCTGCGGAGGGGGCTGGTAGGAACGTTGGTTGCTCGGTCAGTGGCCAGGGTCAACGGCGGCACCACGTGGTGTATTCCGCAAATATGCCCGACTGTGAGGGCGGGCACAAGCCGGCGCGAGTAGGTTAAACGTTGAGTTTTATAAGGGCACCACGGGGTGACCAGCTCCTCCCCACCCAGCCCCACCCTCCCCACCCAGCCCCTCCCCACCCAGCCCCACCCCTCCAATTTTTGTTATATATCCGAATGTCCGGATACACGTGGACAGACATCCACAATTAATCCCCTGCCTCCTGTGAGAATTAATCCCGGATGGGCTTCCAGTCCACTACGTTTCCTACCAGTATAAACGCTCTGATTGTGCGTCGTCTTTGTACTGTGCGCCTTTTGGCGTTCTCTGGTGGCGAGACGATGCCCTCAAGAAGACTGCGGTCTCAGGCGCAGGCTAATCAGTTTCAAAGACAACGCATGTAACAGTATTATCAGAGCATGTTTGTTTGCATGTTCACGGCAGGCACCGTCTGTGCGGTTGATGAAGTAGTTGATTCACAGCCAAAAGTTTCAATTTGGCGTTTGAACATCTTTTAACGCCTCCAGAGAGGGTAAAACCTATTCTTATTTGTTTAATACTTTGATGCTGGCAAAGAGGTCCACATTGTGTAACCGTACGCGCCAGGTGTACGCGCAAGCATTTGCCGGCCTCGTTTCGTCGTCACTTTTCAAATACAAAAAAAAAATTTGGCGCCAAAAAAACTTTACGGAGACGCCCGAAGCGGCCTTCGAGACGCCCCGACGCGGAGCCGACTGCTCCACTCGGCAGCGAACACCGCGCCCTATGTGCAGAGAGAGAGCGAGAGAGACAACAAGGCCACAAAGACGAGCAACGCGGCGCTGTTTACTGGGAGGTCCACGAAGGGCTGGAGGTGACGGACGGAGGCTGAGGCGGCGGTGTTGGCGGCGGCGTTGGTAGCGGCTGAGGCGGCCGCGTTTCGGTGGCGGCAGATTCGTCCGCGCCGCCACCGGATTCACGACGACGACGATAACAACAACGAAGACTTGAGGACGATTAACGTTGAGGACACGGAAGGGGCCTTGTCGCTCACGGCCCCGCTGATGAGGCCCCCCGTGGCTGGTGCTGTGTTGTGAAGTCGATCCGACTTCAAAAACGGGAGTCGAATCGATTCCCGGTTTCGTTTACCGTACAGCGCGGTGGTTTAGTGATCGATTCCATTTTTAGTTAACGAGCGTTGAATCGACAGCCGACGATCGATTCCAAATCTTGGAATATCAATTCCACCTTTTAATTTCAATTAATCAATTACTCATTAATTTAATAAGCGGTCACTCGCGCAAACATGAAACTTCTTGTACGACAATCTGTAGTAGATTTGGAAGCTATTAATCGGTGTGAGGTGGGGTTTTAAAATAAGTTATAGATTTGAATTGCTATTATTCATCGGTTAGTGATGCATTACAGTAAATCTGAAACTTGTGTAGTGTTGTAAGGACGAGCAGACTTCTTATGGAGGCACACTGTTTATTGTATTATTTCCTTATACAATGCTTAACACACACAGAGGGATATTCGGTCCCCTCACCCGATACCCTAGGGAGGTACAGCCTCCGGACCTGGCGGGACTCACACGTCTACCGCTAACCTCCTTGATGCCTAAGGAGGTACAACCTCCGGACTTGGCGGGACTCACACGTCTACCGCTATCCTAGTCCTCCGGCTAGGACCTAGGGGAGGCTATCTGACCCACCGCTGGCCCGGTGGGTCCTGACCACTGGGTATGCCGAGCCTTAGCCCTTAGAAGGGCTGAAAGGCTGGTCCAGGGTCCTAGCTAGGATTCAGCCCAGTCTTCTGTCTTCGTGCAGGGAGAGAACTCCTCGAGGTCCGTTGGGTCACCCATCTTATACCCCTTCGTGGCCAGGTAGAACCAATCATACATTCCTACGTGGAACCGTCTGATTGGTTCGCACCAAACCCTGGCCACGATCCGTTTCACCTCGACTGACCCCAACCGTTGTACCCAGGGGTAATGCTGCACCGCCCTAGTGGCAACGCGGGTTACGCAACAGCGCGTAGTTAACACCTCTACACTTGTAAGCGAAAATCAGACCCCGACGTGATATTGATTACATCCATTCGTGTGCAATTTGTAAGGCCGCGGTGACACAGACTTATTTCATTTAAAGGGTTATAATCCCTTGTTCATCATGACGTCCTTTTTTACTTTGATGTCTCAAAAGGCTTTTGACTTTTAAACCTTTCGTGACTGCAGGAATTCATATTGTCACGTAGATAGTAATAATAGGGGTTTTTCCCCCTTTTTTCTGGCAACAAAACTGAAACCTTTTTACAAGGATTCATGTTACTGCATTAACCACAATACCTGCAGTCAAAATGCAAAGAAAAAAACATACTAAATTTTGATTTAAAGCTTTCGTGACTGCAGTGATTCACATTCTTGGTTCTTTCGGTAAAGTCACGTTGAAGGGAAACAATAAAATATTAAAATATATGTAAAACAATAAAATTCTCACGACGTTTCGACTGCAACACAAGCAGTCATCATCCCTTCAACGTGACTTTACCGAAAGAACCAAAAACATACTATGATAATATATGCATTATGAGACCTCCTTTGCCAGTAACAAGATATAGTAATAGGTTTTTACCCTTTTATCTGGCACAAAAACTGAAACCTTTATGCAAGGAATCATGTTTGCAATAACCACAATACAAGCAGTCAAATTGCAAACAAAAAAAGACACCTCTGATAATGATATTGGCACTGTCCTTGAATTTGATTGGTCCACACCCGAGACGGCTTTTCTTAGAGCCTAGTCTCTACTGGTGTTGGACCAGAAGACGCCAACACCAGTGGAGACTCGGCTCTAAGAAAAGCCGTCTCGGGTGTGGACCAATCAAATTCAAGGACAGTACATATCATTATCAGAGTTGTCTTTTTTTGTTTGCAATTTGACTGCTTGTATTGTGGTTATTGCAAACATGATTTCTTGTATAAAGGTATCAGTTTTTGTGCCAGATAAAAGGGTTAAAACCTATTACAATATATGCATTGTCCTTGAAACTGATTGGTCCACACCAAGGGACGGCTTTCTTTTGAGCCTCTACCCAATTGGTGCTCGACCAGATGACGCCAAAAAAAGAGTTGAGAGAGAGTTAAGTTCCTTATTCGGGTTTTTGTTGTTCAATATATGTATGTGTAGGTATCCTAAAGTATTTGATTAACATTCAAGCACCACAAAATAATCAGAACCTTCAGTTAATGTCTGTTCTGGTTTTTTTTTGGTATATACTGTAATTATTTTTCGATCACTTAATTATTGAATTATCCGTGCTGTATTAATCCAGCACTTAATTATTGAATTATCCGTGCTGTATTAATCCAGCACTTAATTATTGAATTATCCATGCTGTATTAATCCAGCACTTAATTATTGAATTATCCGTGCTGTATTAATCCAGCACTTAATTATTGAATTATCCGTGCTGTATTAATCCAGCACTTAATTATTGAATTATCCGTGCTGTATTTAGACGACCAAACAATGGGTTTGATTCAATATCTGCGCATGATCTCGGAGTCGAGAGTTGACCGCCACTCAACAATGCCGCTTGATGTACTCACGCCGACGAGGTTCAAGGGTTCGATCCCGACCCTGGCACCTGCTGTATATTTGGAGTGTCTCCCTCCGGGTCTTCCCCTCCACATTTAGCATCAACGTTCCTTTAGATTGCAGGACGCGACCTGGGCTTGGCTGTTTTCACTCCAACGCTGTCCTCATGACAGCACGGTCCCTTCACCTGATGAAGGCCACTTGTATTGTGGCCGAAACGTCGTGAATTTTTTGTTGTTTTTTACGTGACTTTACCGAATAGAACCAAAGAGTATGGATCCTTGCAGTCACGAAAAGCTTTAAATCTAGAAGTTTTTAAGTAATTTTTTTCCGCTGTACATTTCCACACGTTAAGCCACTGTTGAGCTATCATTTCTGGCCAGGTCGCTTCTGGAAAAATAAGCCAGTCGCTTAGTGGGCTTTACCTGCTAAGATAAAAAATGGTTTAGTTTTATTTGTACTGTATATACTTTTTAAAGCAATTTGTTTACCTTGTCCTATACTTTGCACTCTAATCGTGTTGTTTTGTATTGTTTGTTGTTGTAACGTTCTGACCCGCCCCCTACTGGAAATCTATGAAAAAGAGCTTAATAGCTCATCGGATTCCTCCAGTGTAAATACTGATTCTGGTTTCGTGTTGAGAACTGTGCAGTGAAATCTCGGCAGGCCGAACCGCACGTCGGCCAGCACTGGGACCAGCGAGAAGTCCGCATATCAGCGTAGGGGTCGGCAACCTGCGGTTCCTTAAGGACTACATTGCAGCTCTTGAAATATTGAGGGTTTTTTTTGTTTACAAATTATTTCGGTTGCCAACCCCTGACCATGGAAGTCCAGTTTACCATGGGAGCCCAATTTACCATGGGAGTCGTTTCTCATGGGAGTCCAATTTACCTTGGGAGTCTAGTTTACCATGGAAGTCCAATTTACCATGAAAGTCCAGTTTATCATGGGAGTCCAGTTTACCATGGAAGTCCAATTTACTATGGGAGTCCAGTTTACCATGGAAGTCCAATTTACTATGGGAGTTCAATTTACCATGGAAGTCCAGTTCACCATGGAAGTCCAATTTACCATGGGAGTTCAGTTTACCATGGAAGTCCAGTTTACCATGGGAGTCCAGTTTACCATAGGCAGAAGTCGGCAATCTGCGGCTCTGGAGTAGCATGCGGCTATTTAAGGACTGCTTCGTCACGTTATTTATTGAGGACCACCGTCTCGTATTCACCACGTGCATTGCGGCTCTTCAAATAGAGGTTTTTTTTTTAATACCTACGTGACTTTATCAAAAGAACCAAAGAGTATGGATTCCTGCAGACACGAAAGCTTCAAATCAAGATTAAAATCAAGATTAGTGGGGTTGTTTTTACCGAATTTGAAAAAAGGTGTCTCTTGTTATTTTGGTTGCCGACTCCTGGGACTGTCTGCTCCAAGGAGAAGTTCAGCGATACACTGCAATAATAATTAAAATGTATAACGCGAATTCCATCCTTGGATCCCAATGTGCAATGCATGGTGACAACCCCTTTCCCCCCACGGGTTCTCAATCTGCAGTCCTCGCGACCCACCACCACGCTACACGTCTTTCCCACGTTTACTAATTTGCTCACCATTCAAATGAACTCGATCCACGCTGCACGCGCCCGATGATTGTTAAACCCGTTCCAGGTGACGTGCTGAGCAATCTGTGAAACTCCTGGACATGTGAAAAAAGAGCTTTATAGCTCATCAGATTTCTGCAGTATATTCTGATTTTGAAATATGGTCTGCGTCACGTGGAACATGTGCATACAACAGCCGTCATTCGTCACTAAGTGTCGGTGACGTCACCACGGATATTCTACCAGGCTAGATGCACTTTGAGGCCACGTGAAGTGTCGAAGGATCACTGGCAGGTCACGGGACAGACCCAGGTACCATGGGTTGACCGAGATGACTGGCTGGCAGATACACCACTGTACCAACTTGCCGCATTTCAGCCGCCCTTCGTTGTCTCTCCTCCGCCGTTGTTGGAAGATGATTGCCTCCCTACTGCCCAGTAGCAGCGTCCTCCACGAGCCTTCTCCACAGAGGCCGATCTTGACACCGCTGGTACCAGTCATTAGCAAATCCACTCAGTTCCACGTCCCCCTGTACCACATCACTCCATCTCTTCTCGAGCCTGTGCCGCACCCATTTAACCCCCTCTTATCCAGCCAAACAGAAGGTGTTTGGGCATCGGGTAGCTGAGCATGCGGGCTACATGACCCAGCCAACGCATCCTTGCCTGCCGGAGGAAATCACTGATGTGACTGTGTCCAGATATTGCAAGGATTTGTGAGCTCCTCACACAATCCATCCTGGTGAGACCCTGGATAGATCATAGGCAGGCCAGCCTGAATGTTTCTAACCAGCGTGGATGTTCCATTCGAAGGGTCCTAGTTTCTCAAGGAGAGAGAAGGGAGGACATAAATGTGCACAAAGACCCCCCCCCCCCCCCCCTTATAGCTTTCAACAGATTGTTGGAGCAAGAGCTGTTTAGCGAGCGCCCATGAAGGCCGACACAACACACAAGAGGGTGGGTGGCCAGCACCACGCTCAGCCACCTGCGACGCACGCACTCAATCTGCACGAGCTCTAATAACGCAACGTTCATTAGATTGGATTGATTGGCGCGTACGTCATGTGGAATGCGTTGAACAATCACGGGGCGTGTACAGCATGGAACGAGTTAACTTGAATTTGAATGGTCAGCAAATTGGTGGTAAGACAGAGCGTGGTAGGTGGCGTGGACTGGAGTTTGGGAAACCCTGGGCCTATACGTTACACGTGAGGTTATAAAGATAGCTAAAATGCATTAACGTCTCAAACATTTGAAAGGAGACCCTCAGCGG